GTCCGGTCGGCCGGACACCGCCGGTTCCGTGCGAAAATTTGGGCCGGACAATTTTTTTTTTACCTCTGAGCTGCTGGACATCTTGCGAAAGTGAGAAATGAAAATGGCAAAATCGTCCAAGGGGGGCGGTGACTAGTAATAAGGGGGGCGGTAAATAGTAACGCCCAAAAATTTTGATGGTCATGGAATGGGGACGCCATGCCGACCACGTTCAGAGGAATACCGATTTTCACCTTTTTTTTTTTTTTAAATTATGATTTTCTTTTATAGCGCTTTTAAAAAAAATGTGTGAAATTCTTATTGTGATCTAATAAAATGTAACTAGTATGCAACTCGTGTGTGCAATGCACATGTGACATTTTTTCATTTGCTTTTGTAAATTGTAGTAGGTAATTCGACAAAGTTATAATGTGTCGGGCAATTTTTCAATTTTAGTTATTCGACGAAAAAAATACATGTTCATTGAAAACTTCATTGTACACAAAATTATTAATTAAATTTTGAGAAACTCATCATTCCCATAAGATATCATTTTCAAATTTTTTTGTACAACCTGCCAAAATTCTAGTCCGACATAATCACATTATTACCACCCATAAGAGACCTGGTAATTTGTAATGGCTCTCAAAAGTATGAAGTTGGTCTACATATTCTCACCGGACAATGCAGTTTATCATATTTTCCTTAGAAACAGTACATATCAATAAGTTAGTAAATATGGTAGTGGTTAATTTAAAACCAATGAAAGAATCAAATTAAATGAAAGGAGTAACATACTCTAAATTTCAATCACAATGTCAATGACACCAGACAATTATTAATAATAAATCCGGCAATTGCCAATCCCCTTGTCTTTTTCTTTCTCATCATTTTTTTTTTTTTTTNNTTTTTTTTGATTTAGAACTTTTGGTTATTTGGCAATCGCCAACCCCCCTTCAACTTTTCTTCATAAAACTCCGACAACCATGTCGGACTCTAGTAACATTTCTTCTTTAACCTATTTTTCTCAACCCCTAGATGAACCTTTTAGGGACCTCCCTTTAACCCTGGCTCTCTCTTTTTCTTGTCGTTAGCTAGACCAGGTTACAGTGGTCAAAGGAAAAAAAACTTTGGACGAGCCATTTAGGCTCGCCGTCTTAGCTCTTCCTCTCTCTCAAAAATTAAAAGACCAAGCTACGATTGTTAAAGGTAAGAAAACTGAGGTATTTTCTATCCTGGTGACGGTTGTCAAACCAAACCCCCTAACCTCTTACTCCAACGACCATGTCACAACCATTCTTTACAATTTTGAACTTCCTTGATCTTTGGGTTCTAAAGTTCCCAAGGTCGGTGAGCTCTTTGAGTAGCCTCCCTCGGGCTACTACTTCTTTTTCCTTGGCCAAATTCAGTTCGGACTAAAATTCTCTCTCTAGAACGACCTGATAGAATTCAGTCGGCTCTACCACCTCCCTCTAAATCATTTTACCTCAAACTCGTTATGTATTATGGTAGGGTTCCCTATCCTTAGTCGGTGTCCATTTAACATGTTAGATACTAGCTTTTTTTTTCTTCTTGTTACGTATATTGGTAGGGTATTATGGTAGGGTTCTCGTTTCTTCGGTGCAGTACAATATGAGATGATTTAGTTCGGTACTCGGTACGTATATTGTGAAATTTCCATAGGCATACCAATTATTTTTTAATTTGATTTGAAAAAAGTCAAACTCTCAATAGTTATTTTTCCATTCGAAGTGAATTTGATTCGATCCAAAATTCTTCGGGTCACGTGCTGAGGCAAGTGTAATGTTCATGAGTGTTGAAATCAGTGTTTAAAAAACCGTACCGTACCGGCCGGTAATACCGGTATTACCGGT